TTTAAACAATATTTGGACAGGTGTTTCCAACTCAAAGATTTGGGTCCGGTCAAATATTTTTTGGGGATTGAATGTGCCCGTTCTGCATCGGGTATGGTTTTGTGTCAGCGAAAGTATGCACTGGAGATTTTACAGGAGGCCGGTCTGTTGGGTTGTAAGCCGGCTGACACGCCGTTACCCACGACGCACAAACTGGGCACGTCGACCGCGGCAGTGCTCCATGACCCGGGGCGGTACCGCCGACTTGTGGGTCGTTTGATTTATCTCACTATTACTCGGCCGGATATTTGTTATGCTGTCCATGTTTTATCTCAGTTTATGCAGGCTCCTACTCTCGATCACATGAACGCAGCTATGCGTGTTCTTCGTTACATCAAAGGCCATCCGGGTCAGGGTATTTTTCTCAGTGCTAACAGCAATTTACAAATCTCTGCCTATTGTGATTCTGATTGGGCTAGCTGTCCCATGTCTCGTCGGTCTGTTAGCGGATATTTTATTATGTTAGGGACTTCTCCGGTTTCCTGGAAGACGAAGAAGCAAACCACTGTTGCCAGATCGTCTGCAGAGGCGGAATACAGGGCTATGGCAAATGCTTGTGTGGAGGTCCGTTGGATGCGAGGGATTCTCCTCGCCTTGGGAGTTCCTATTTTCTATCCTCCCCGATTATATTGTGACAATCAGTCAGCTTTGTATATTGCAGCTAATCCTGTTTTCCATGAACGAATGAAGCATGTGGATGTCGATTGTCACACCGTTCGAGAAAGTGTCCAGCGACATGAGGTGTCGACAAGATATGTTCCTACTCGGTACCAGTTGGCCGATATTTTCACTAAGCCGTTGGGCAAACCTAGTTTTGATTTTTTGTTGTGCAAGTTGGGCATTCAGGATCTTCATGCGCCAACTTGAGGGGGAGTGTTAGCGGATATTTGTATTTAATTATATTTTTGTATTGGGCCTCGTGTAACCCTAGCCCGTCTCGTGTAAACTTGTATATATACGGTCTTGGTTGTTTAATGAAAACAGATCAGTTTTACTCTAAATTTTTACACTTAGACTGAGCCATAAGATACTTGGATTGAACCACATTAAAAGATGGAATATAATTCAATCGATTACGTTGTTCAACTCAAGAGCTTATGTACCAATTTATTTTCTCATCAAGTTTCAATGAGGGATACTTTAACACTAGTGAACAACTGAGTCATTTTGAATCTAACAGATTGACCACTTGCAAATTAATTCACATCCCCCTGATTTTTTTTAGCGCCAACACCTTAAGGACCACGAGTTGCTGGGTTTGAACTTCCAGACGAGCAATATAATCGGGTTAAACGAGCCACATGTCATTGGGTATACATTCCTCACGGACAATTAGGCTAAACATTAGGGCCGGTAAGAATGAACGTCTAGACGAACACCTTAAGAGAGGAGATGAGCTAAAACTGAGTCCAATACCATGATAGACATAGTGAACCTGCTGTATAGGAGTAGGCATAGATACTGAATCAGTCCCGTCAAATTCCTAGGGGTCATGAACATAAACCAAGTAACATATGCTGGGAAACCACGCTTGGATCGGGCAGCGGAAAACAAAAATTTTAACTCCAAAAGTTGTTTCCACCCAAGATCCCTTATGAAGATTATAAGTTATAATTATAAAATGAGGAATTTACCTAAATAGCACTAAAACATAATGACTTTCCCTAAATAGCACTACATGTGTTTTTTTTCCAATGTAGCACTTTTAATCATTATGCATTAGTTATTATTCACGTAAATATTTGCTATCACTGGTCATTATACACATTATTAAGTGCTATTTAGAGAATAAAACAATTTAAATGCTATTTAGAGAAATGACTTAAGTTTTAGTTCTATTTGGTGCATATATTTCTTAGAAAATATACCTTTCTTGGCGAGCAAGGGACGATGTATAGTTGATGGGATTGGTCCAAGAGTTAGCTACAAAAGTATCTGACCTCTAGTTTGGATACACGAACTGTGAAAAGATTTTAGGAGAAAAGTTATGCCAGTAATTTTTTCCTAGAATATTTCTAAAGTATAAAATATTTGGAGTAAAAGATAAGAGGAGAGAATTAAATTTTTTTTGCTTATTTTTCTTGGATGTGGCGTGAGATCCACAAGACAAAAGGGGAGAGATTACCTCATATTTATAAGGAGCATAATTTCCATTCTCATTTCTAATGGAAAAATATATATTTTAAGGTTTAGAAAAGAAATCAAATATTTCTTTCTTGCACATCAAGCTTCTTAATTTCGGCCCTACCATAAGGAAATATTCCAATTTATTTTGTCAACTTTAAATTTCATATAATTAACACAAAATAAATAATATAACATTTTAATGAATATATATATATAGGTATATTTTATATATATATATATATATATATATATATATATATATATATATATTCTTTAAATAATATTTGACAACCTTAAATATTATATAATTAAAATGTCCAAATATTATATGTATATATTTATGCACCACATAAACAATTTTTTATTTTATATATGTATGTGTGTGTGTGTGTGTGTGTGTGTGTGTGTGTGTGTGTGTGTGTGTGTGTGTGTGTGTGTATATATATATATATATATATATATATATTGTAACACCCGCCTTCCGTAGACCCGGTTC